GCCGCGCGCTGCCTCTGCGCCGCAGCCCTGCTCGGCCCGGGCTGGCCCGGCTGCTGGGCGTCTCCTGGCCCCGAGGCAGGGGACCTGGGGAGGGCGCGGGCAAGTTCCGGCCTCCCTGGGGACTGGCTGTCTCCGGGCAGCTCCCGCGGCCAGCAGAGTGGTTGGCGTGCGGAGTACGCGGACTCCAGGGCCCGCTAGAGCCGGGGGGCCTTGCAGTTCCTGGCCGCGCCCGCACGGCCTCCCGAGTGGCGCTCCCGGGGTGAAGGAGGGGTGAAAGGGTGAACCGGAGGGACGAGTGCCCGAGGCCTGCCGCTGCTCCGCGAGCCTGGCACCGCCGCCTCCGGGAGCAGGCGGGACCTCGGAGCCCAGGGGTTCTGTGAGGAGGGCGCAGGCTGGCTGATCTTCTCACTCCAGAGGTGACCGGACAAATGTAGGTCGCTCGCGGTAGGATGGGAGCTCCTCGTAGGGTGTTTCTTAAATGTGTGCTTTGTAAAATGCAGATCCTTCGGGTAATAATCGTTACTTAATTTGCTTAAGAAAAATTTGATGTTCGAACCTTCCACTGATGATAGATGGAATGCCAGCACTTGTGTTCCCCTCGGTCCCATTAAAACCTGTGAGAGTTTGCTTTCTTTTAAAAGCCCGTCCCAGATTACCGTGTTCGCAGGTTAGAGATCTGCAGGGTCCACCTTGCTTGCCCTAAAATTCTTTTTACAAGTCCTTCTCAGTGCCTTTACAAGAATATTACTTTAAAAAAAAAAAGAAAGAAAGAAAGAAGAAAAGAGAAAAAAAGGACACTTAGACCTTTGCCACACTTTGAATTTGGTGATTATTTCTGTGGGCAATGGAAGTAAAAGAAAGAACGTTATTTAAATCCATTGCCTATTCTTAGAAAACAATCACTTTTAAAGGAGCCATGTCTAACCAAAAAGTAAGTTCCACTTTAGGCTGTTAGGGTACTGGTGTTTCTGTTATTCCAAGATTTCTTGAAGCAGAGATACAAAAAATTAAGTCTGCCCATGCCATGTTTAAGAATCTACTTTACCTAAACTGGGCATAGTAGCACATGCCTGTAATCCCGGCACACAGGAGGCTGAGGAAGGTGGATTGCTGAGAGTTCGAGGCCAGCCTGAACTACGTAATGAGACCCTGGCTCAAAAAAAAAACAAAAAAAAACTGGGGCTGGAGATTTAGCTCACAGCGCTGTCAGGCAAGCACAAGGTCATAAGTTCGATTCCCAGTACCGGGAAAACAAACAAACAAACAAAAAACCTACTTTACCTAAAAGTAAATATGAAATGTGCTATAAACTCAAGTGGAACTGCTATGAGGTTCACAGTATTTCCTTTAGGGTCAGCTCTGAAGAAACTGAGAAGCAAGCCTTAACAGCTATCTCCTTTTGTAGCCCAAGTTCCTGGATTTATGCACTGCACAATGTAAACTCCCTTAATTGCACTTCCTTTTTAAAGACAGTTTTTGGCAATTTATTTTCAGCATATGTTGCATTTTATTTAATTTTTCCATCATATTTGAACACATAGTTTTAAGTTCAAAGAGTGCCCTGTGGAAAGAAAAATAAGGTTCTTTTTCCATATACACATACCAAATAGATTTGTCTTTGTTTCATTTGTATTAAATTGACACTTCCTCTCCGTATCCCTACCATTATGTTTTCATTTTCCACTGATTTATATGAAATGGAAGCAAAAAGGCAACAAAACAGCAATATTTAAACAAGTCTTTGAGGTAACTTTTAGTAAAATCTCACCTGTAATTCCAAAATACAACTTGCAAAGCAAGAAGTCATGTGGCAAGGCTCAGAGCCCTCTGTGTCAGCTGCCTTCCTTCTCTGCAGAGTCTCTAGATCCTCAGACCAGTGCTCGTGCGAAATTCCTGGAAATGCCAAGTTCTTTGTCCTTACTGACTCAGAAACGCTGTGGTAGAACTCTGCACTGTTTCAATTAGCATTCCAAGTCATCTAATGCACGCTAGGGTTTGAGGACAATTGCTTTAGGGCATTGGTGGCAGACCTCCAGCACCACAGCAAGCTGTATCACTGAAAGCTCTGAAAGATTCGCCCTCTCTGCTTTAGGGCTTCTGGGAAGACAGACTGGAACCCATCACAATAAAATGTTCCTATAAACAATTGGTAATGGCCAAACTGTTAGGTCTCAGGAAATGCAGCCACAGAGAACCTCAAAATGACAGAGGATGTATAGCTTCTAAAAAGGGTGCAGGAGTGTCGTGCATAACGCATAGCAGCAAAGATGGTTTGGAGGTCAGATGTAGAAAGTCAAGAACCCCCAATACCAAGAAAGGCTTTAAGTGGTTGAAGAAAACTGAGAAAATAGCCTCCTCAAAGAAGACCAGTAGGGTACTCTCTCTTACCATCTTACTCCAACTTCTTTAGTAATGTGTTAGGATAAGTAAGTTTCCCTTAGACTTTAAGCCTAAGCATGTATTTTAGGTTTCAAAACCAAAACAAAATCAGTGCAAATGCCTTAGAGGATTGATGGTAAAGCTTTTAGAGCTTTCAGTGACACAAACAACCTGTGCCAAGAGCTAGGATTACAGGCATGTGCCACCATGTCCAGTGAGCCTTACTTCTCAAAGTGAGATGCCTAGACCAGCAGCACTGGCACCATGCAAGAGCTTAAAAACGCAGCATCCTAGTCATTGTATCAGACCTCCTGGGTCACAATCTTGAGTTTAACCAGGTTCTCAGGTGATTCATATGCAAGGTTGAGAAACTATTTTAGATAGTGGTCTTCAGTTTTAGTTACACATTGCCGTTGCCTGGGAAACATAAAAATCCTGATACCTAGTCTGTATCCAAGACAAATTATAATCTCTACAGGTGAAAAGGAGCCGTTATTCACTTTTAAATCTCCTCACGTGATTCCAGTGTGAAGCCAGGTGTAAGAGCCACTGCCTTGGAGAATCTAGATGGAATAGGTACCATCAGTTAAGCGAGGTGGGAAGACTAAAATTCAAATGGCTGGCCTTACAGGGGGCAACTGATGCTGGACGTCAACCAGTGACCTCCATATAGGATGGCTGGTGTAGCTTTGTCAGACCTTCCAATTTCCAGAAAGAAGTTAGAAATAAAGTACAGATTTTTATGAGCAGTTTCCCAATTATCAATTCTGGCAATTAAGTCAACATTGTTTTGAAATGTGGGTTAGGCAGTGTGATGCTTTACTATTTTATGACTTCATGATGTTGTAGGTCATAAAGTTACCAAAAAGAGTACTGGCTTGTTCAAATGCTTATCTAAAAGCACATATAGTTTACATATTCTATTCACTAATGTTGTAGGCATTTATTTAATGACTGAGAGTCAGTAATGGGTGAGATACCAAACACTATGGCTTTTTGACCAACATTTTTTGTTTTCCTTTTGTCTGATAACTGAAAAGTGTCTTAGTTACTCTTGGGGAGAGTCTTACTTTTCTTATTGCTGGGAAAAAATACCTAATACCCACAAATTAAAGGAGGAAATGTGTATTTTGGATCACAGTTTGTAGGGGTTTTACTCCACAGTTGGCTGACTCCAAGGCAGGATGGTGTGGCAGAAGGGCATTGCAGAGGAGAAACAGTCCATGACAGGGCAGGCAGGAGGCAGTGAGGAAAGAGGAGGAGAATGGGAGGAGGAAGAGAAAACCTCCCTGCTTTCTGTGCCTTTATAATCCATCTAGGCTACAAGCCTATTGATTGGTCCCATCCATATCTAGGGTGGGGCTTCCATTATCCACAACCTTAATCCCACTATCACGCCCTTAATCCACATTCACACATCCTAACCCAGCCACCTTGAAAACTTTCCACCTAT